GGGGGGATAGCAAAGGGGGGGTTTGAGAATCAGCTCACGTAGCTGATTTTCCCGGCGCCTCCCGGCGCCGGAGGCGCCCATGTATCGAGGAATGGGCCCCTCGGTGAGGCCGAAACCAGCTGCATGCAGCAAATTTCGTAACCCCCCCTTTCCCAATCTCCCCCTTTCGCCCGGCCCGAGTTGGATCTCTGGGGAGGCAAATGCCCGACTTCACGCATCGCCACTGCCTCCCTGCTTCTCCTCCGCGCGCCTGGCGGCGAGCGCCCGCCACCGGCCCGTGGCCTCGACGACCTCCGGCGGCGCCCTCTCGTAGGCGTAGCGGTCCATGCCGACGAGCGCGCCGGAAGCGAAGACCCCGGCGAGGTGCACGGGGATGCCCTGCCGCTGGCACTCCAGGAGGCAGGGCCAGCCCTCCTGTGATGAGCCTGGTCTTGCACCACCACCACCACCAGGAGTGGGAGGGGGAGGGGGTCCTCCTCCTCCTCCTCCTCCTCCTCCTCCTCCTCCTCCTCCTCCTCCTCCTCCTCCTCCTCTTGGTCCTCCTCCTCCTCTTGGTCCTCCTCCTCCTCGTCCTCCTCCTCCTTCCCCCCTCCAACTGATGGTGGTGATGGCGGAAAACAGGCCCATCATGCTGGGTGTAGGTCGGGCATGTCCCCCCCGGAGGCGGGTTGTGGACGAGGAACAAGAAGTAGCCCAAAGATGCTCAGGAACACGGAGTCAGGAAAGGATCGCAGGATCGTCCCCAAGCTGTGGACTATTTCTGAATCTTCCCCCTGTAGGGGACATGCTCGACTTGATCGCCCTCCTGTTGAGCAGGGACCGACCGTCCCCGCATTCCTGGAGGCCTACCACGAAATACTCTCAGAACCCCAAACATGTTCTAAGAACGGAAACAACGTTCTCAGAACATAGACCCGACGTGCTAAACCACGGCAGTCCCGGCCAAACATGTTCTAAGAACGTCTCGTGTCAAACCATAGACGTTTCTTGGGACATTATTTGGCGGGTCTATAGTCAAGCCCGGAGCAGGAGGAGGAGAAGGAACAGAAGGAGGAGGAGGAGGAGGAGGAGGAGGAGGAGGAGGAGGAGGAGGAGGAGGAGGAGGAGCAGGAGGACCTCGCCACAGCTCGATCCTGGGTGAGGAGGTTCCAGCCGCCCGCCAGCAGCGCGGAGTCGAAGGTACCCCGCGGGGCGCCCCGTAGCAGGCGCAGGACCTCCTCCGGCCTGGCCCTGCCGTTGAGGTTGTGGCAGTTCATGCCGAGGCTCACGTGCTCGATCTTCCCCTCCGCCCTCACAAGGGCCCTCCCAAATTTGAGCAGGGACCGACCGTCCCGGCATTCGTTTAGTCCTACCACGAAATGTTCCTAGAACCCAGAAGCGTTCGAATGGCAAAAACAAGGTTCTTAGAACATGAACCCGATGTGATAAAGCAAGACAGACTCCGCCAGAAATGTTCCAAGAACATCTCGTGGAATCCACAAAGGGTTCTTAGAACGTTGTTTGGTGGGACTATGGGCGAGCCAGGACGCTTCGCCACTGCTTGACAAATGGGGTCGAATAGTCGGGGTCGGTGGATCACTCCGCACCGACGATGCATCGGCGCTGGGCTGGAAACGTCGGCAGGGCATCGGCGACGCCGCCGCAACGCGACCCAGGATCCGCATCTCGAAACGCACCGCCGGTGCAGCGGCGATGCGGCTCGATCGTCCGACTCCGCTCGCTTTGACCCGTCCGGGAGGCCCCAAACCTCAGGCGCCGGAGGCCCTCCAGCATGCCACCCGGGGCCAGCGCGGCAGCCACCTGGACCCGGAGGAGGAGGAGGAGGAGGAGGAGGAGGAGGAGGAGGAGGAGGAGGAGGAGGAGGAGGAGGAGGTGGAGGAGGAGGAGGAGGAGGAGGAGGAGGAGGAGGAGGAGACTCTCTTCACACCGTGGGCGGCGATCGGCGGCGCGACCGGGGGGGGGAGGAGCGAGAGGCCTTCTCAGGAGGCGGCGGGGCCTCTCAGAGGCCCTCGCGCCTTCTGAGCAGCCCCGCCGCCTTCTGAGAAGGCCTGCCACAGGGAACCGAACTCTCTCTCTGTATATATATATAGGAATAAGAAACATGGAGGAAGGAAAACGAATAACATTATTATAACGGCGATGCTGGACAATGAGTTATCGCTAAATTGTCGGCTTGACCTTCCCGCTAGTCCGCCTGCATACCAAACTTCAAGGACCAAGGTGCATGGCGCGAAGCGCCACTGTAATCTTGTGTGTATATATATATATAAATATATATACACCGGCGCTTTTTTCCGGCCCTGCCCCGACATTTGCACAGGAAGGCGGTTCCTGGTATTCACGGGAGCCCGGCGTATACATTCTTCGTTGCCTCCTCGGGAAACAGAACCAAGAAGCATACACCACACCACCCCAACATCGTCCCCGACCTTCAAGAGGTCCTGGGCTTGAAAAGCTGCTCGCCACTGGTAATGTATATGCTCCAGTTTCCGATGCCCCCTTTCGGCTACAGGCAGGCACGCAGGAGTGACCCTGGGTAAGAGTGGCCTTTGGTGCGCGACTTTTCGGGGGTCGCGGGGGGACCAAACCTGGGCGCGCAAGCAGCTGCTACTGCCTCGCTTTTGGCCATCTGGGGACCCATCTGTGCCCGCACCAAAGGTCACCCTGGCGAAAGGTCACTCTTGCGTCTGGTCGACCCTCGCACCTCCCCCCCCCCCCCCTGGCCCGGGCGCGCCGCCGAGACGAGCTTTCCAAGCAGGCGGCTTCGGAGCGGAGCCGTCGCGGCAGAGCAGGGGCAGCGACGGGGACTCGCGGGGCGAGACAGCGCGAGGCGGGGGGTCGGGCGCGGGCGGGGAGGTCCGGAGGGCGGGGGAGCCACCCCATCGATCCCGAGGACCCCTTCCGGCGTCGAAACGCACCAGTTTTCCGAGGTGCGTCCAGCCGTGGCAGCGAGGGGTCCCCCGAAGGCCAACTGCTGCTATCTCGACTCGCCCTCCTCTGATCGCCGCCGTCGCCGCCGTCGGTATTCGGAGAGTCGCCGAGACGACAACTTCGAGAGGATAGATGCCAAGGGACTCGGACGCGGCGGCTTACCCAGGCCGCCAGCGCGGCACACCGCGTGGAGCGCCCTCAGTGCGCTCCTGGGCGAGACCCCCCTCCCACGTCTGCAGGGAGAAGCCAGGCAGCCTTTTGACCCCCAGGGGATAAGGAGGAGGAGGAGGAGGACGAGGATGAGGAGGAGGATGAGGGGGAGGAAGACGAGGAGGAAGATGAAGAGGAGGAGGAGACTCTGGAGTCTCTGCCTGATCTCGTAGCGATGTGAATTCACCTCCGCCGCAAACTGGATCTGCAGGAACAGGACCGGGAGGAGGAGGAGGTGGAGGAGGTGGAGGTGGAGGAGGAGGAGGAGGAGGAGGAGGAGCAGAAACAGGAGCAGGAGCAGGAGAAGGAGCAGGAGCAGGAGGAGGAGGAGGAGGAGGAGGAGGAGGAGGAGGAGGAGGGGGAAGAGGAGGAATAGGAGGACGAGGAACCAGACCCGGGCCAGGATGAGGAGGACGGCGCTCACGAGCGACCTGACGCGGGCAACCAGCATACGCGGGGGCACGCGCGACGTCGGCCTGGCCCTCTCTTTTTTTTCCGTTGCGCGCGGGCTCCAGAGCTCTCGGGACCGGTTCGGGCGCCGCTGGGGCGAAGCTCGGGGCCCGAAGGTGATCCGCGTCCTTCCGACGCTAACCGACGCTAGTCGACGCTAATCTGCGCGATCTCACCGATTACCAAGCACCAGCCGGCACGAATGCACTCGAACACGGGAATTTCGAAGGTGTGCAAGGCTCCCATGATTTGCAACCGGAGAGAACCCAAGAGGCCCCAAGAGGCCCTCATGCGCCGAGACTGCGAAGAAACGCCCGCATTGATCTTTGCCTTGCAACGCCAAGGATCCTGGTTCCTTGCCCGTATGTCGATCTTTGGGATGGCCGCTCGGGCCTCGGTGGCCCACATGGATCCGCAAAACATCGAACGATCAAACAACCGAATGCGTCGAGACGCTGGAGGTCAAACGTCGTAACCAATCACGACCCGTGTTGTCGACTCTCCTAATTCCGCCGTCGAACGGTTGCGCCCCTTCCCCCGACCACCCCAGAATCCTTGGCCCAACCGCTCCAGCCTGTTGTAATGTCGCCATAACCTTGGACTCGTGTGGCACGGCTGTGCACGCGCCGTGATGTGCTGCGCCGGGCGGCTGGCACCCACTTGTTTCTGTTGGCGTGTCTCTTCGCTTCTTTGTGCATCTTTCCCAGGCAAGCGTTTGCACCTCAGGGCTCCACCTTCTCGTCTAACTGGTCGGTCTGGCCGGCCTGTGGCCGCCCGTGGCCGTCGAGGAGGAGGAGGAGGAGGTCACGTTTTGGAGGGTGCGAAGACCTGGTTGTCGGTCTGGCCAGCTTGTGGCCGCCCGTCGCCGCCGTCCCCGATCGCGATTCTTGGCTGTGTGCGAGGCTCGGCCTTTGCATGCGATTTCCGTTTGTTGGCACCGCGTTTAGCAATTGTTGTTGGTTGTTTTTTGTTTCTCTTTTCTCTAATTGTCCGGTCGTTTGCATCGCATTGCACGGCTCTGCGCCGCATAAATTGCACCAAGATGGCTATATGGGGTGCCGTCCGCGTGGTGAAGTATATGATGCTGTGCAGTAGAACTTGTGCAGCCTGTCCTGTGCAGTCTATGTTGTGCACTATCCGTGGGTCAGCTTATCAAGTGCAGTCTACGTGGTGCAACGAATGTGGTGCAAATCGTTTGCCGAACTTGAAAACGTCAACTCCACTGCTCGCGCAATCATCCCACCCACCCACCCGCAACTTGGTTTGCAAAACCAATTTGGGAGCTATTGTGATGAATGGTGGGTGTTGGCTGATGCATCTTTCCGGCTGCGCTAGCCCGCGCATGCTCGCGCGCGCAGCAGTCAGCTAGTTTGGCGCGACCGACGCGAACGTTTTGGCGCGGACCGCTCGGCACATCCTAACGGGCACTCCAGCGCGAGTCGGCGACTTGGCCGGGCGCGGTGTCATGGCAACGTCGACAACTGTAGACACGATGATGATTGTAACGATGCCGGTGGCGATGCGGACGACGACGACGGGGCAGCCAATGACGGCGCCGATGCTGATCACGCCGGCGAAGGTGATGAAGGTTTTGGAAGGAGTTCGATATGCGCGCGCGGTAGACGCGTGAGAGTGGCCCGCATGGTATTGTTTGACATGGATCGGGCCCCTCCAGCACGCGCGCAAAGGGCGTTCGAACGATTTCGACATGCGCGCGCGAAGCCCGCTTGGTCGCATTTTAGGAACATGTTGAACACCGATGGTTTTCTTAAGAATTCGCAGAACCGCGCGCACGTTTCTTTTTGAAACCCGTGTTGCGACCCCCTGTGTTTATATTTGTTTTGGACAATCGATCTTGAAACCCTTACGACACACACAACTTTTGAACGATTTCGGCGTATGCGCGCGACGACGCGCGCGTGTGTACTTCGTCCCGTTGTTCGTAAGGGGTTCTTGAAAACTGCTGATTTTTGACAAGCGAACGTGCGCGCATAATTTTTGTTGCGGAGGATGGCGGGGGGGGGTATATACCGGTTGGGCTGGGATGGTATGGGTTCATATTTTGGACGGGCGATGGGGCAGAATCGTGTCAATTGCAATACGAGGAGGGGTGCTGATTTTCCCGGGGGGAGGGGGGGTGCGTCCAGTTCTCTTTTAAGAAAAGATAACTGACTACCCTGCACCGCGTTTGAAAACCTTCAGCGTTCGCGCGAACATCCCACCCATCCAGCCGCAATTTGGTTTGCAAAACCCATGCGGCGGGGGTTGCGATGACAGATTGATTTTGGTACGTGCATCTCTGCGGCCGCGCCAGCCCGCGCATGCGCGCGCAGCAGCCACCTAGCTGGGTGCGGCCGACGCGACCACGGCGGCGCTGAACTCTGGGCGCGTCCCAGCGGGCTTTTCAGTGCGAGTCGCGGACTTGGGCGGGCGCGGTATCAGGGCAACGTCGGCAGCGGCAGACGCGACGATGATAGTAGCGGCGCTGGTGGCGATGCTGACCGCGCCAACCCAAGCACGCGCGCGCGCGCAGCGGCCAGCTAGTTTGGCGCGACCGACGCGGCTGCGGTGGCGCTGGCCGCCGGGCGCCTCCCAGCGGGCACTGCACTGCGAGTCGCGGACTTGGCAGGGCGCGGTCTCGTGGCAACGTTGAAAGCGGTAGACGCGATGATGATCGTGGCGATGCTGGTGGCGATGTGGACGACGACGACGTCGCGGCCAGTGCGGGCGCAGATGCTGGTCGCGCCGACGACGGTGACGGCACGGCGTCCTCGCGTCGGTGATGACGGTTTTGGAAAGAGTTCGACATGCGCGCGCCGCCGACCGGAGCGAGTGGACCGCATGGTACTATTTGACGCGGATCGTGCCCCCCCCATCGCGCGCAACGGTGGCGAATGATTTCGGCATGCGGCGCCAGAGGCCCACTTGGCAAAATTCCATGAACATGTTGAAAAACCTACGGTTTCGTCAGGACTTCGCAAGAGCGGGAGCACTCCAACTGCGGCGACGAGAACCCCCACGGAGGTCCAGAAAAAACTGCAAACGTTGCAAAACATCCTGGGGCCTCTATATCCCCCTGGTGGCTTTCGGGCCATAACCCTAGGCCTCTGGCGGCCGTTCGGGACGATCCAGGCACCCCCAGAACGCCCTCGTCGAGGCGCAGCTGCTGGAACACATCCCGAAGCTGGCAAACCGCCGAGAACCAACGGAACGGAACTGCCTGCAAGCCTCGCGGATCGAAGGCCCGAAACGTGTACCCCCCCCTCCCGCCTCGTCGGTGGAGCCGTCCCAAGTGGAGTTGTCGTTGGGGTCGTGGACCCGCAGGCCGTGCACCCGGTCCGCGCCCAGCCGCGCGAGGCTGTCGGCGTGGGACGCGGCGGCACCCTCGGCGGTGTAGTCGTTCACGAAGACGCGGTCGCCGAAGGCGGGGCCCTGGAGGCGCCGCCGCGTCGTCGTCGTCCTCCTCCTCCTCCTCCTTCTTCTTCTTCTGCTTCTTTCTTCTTCTCCTCCTCTCTCTCCTCCTCCTCCTTCCTCCTCCTCCCCCCTCCTCCTCCTCCCTCCTCCCCTCCTCCTCCTCCTCCTCCTCCTCCTCCTCCTCCTCCTCCTCCTCCTCCTCCTCCTCCTCTCCTCCCCTTCTCTTCTTTTTCTCTCCTCTCCTCCTCCTCCTCTCCTCCTCCTCCTCTCCTCCTTCGTCTCGTCCTCGTCTCCTTCTCCTCCTCCTCCTCCTCCTCCTCCTCCTCCTCCTTCCTCCTCCTCCTCCTCCTCTCCTCCTCCTCCTCCTCCTCTCCTCTCCCCCCCTCCCCCTCCCCCTCCCCTCCCCTCCTCCCCCTCCCCCTCCCCTCCTCCTCCCTCCTCTCCTCCTCCTCCCTCTCCTCCTCCTCCTCCTCTCCTTCCTCTCCTCTCCTCCTCCTCCTTCCTTCCCCCCCTACTCCTCCTCATCTTCCTCCTCCTCTCCTCCTCCTCCTCCCCCCCTCCTCCTCCCTCCTCCTCCTCCTCTCTCCTTCCATCCTCCGCCCCCCTCCTCCCCCCCCCTCCTCCCCCTCCTCCTCCTCCTCCTCCCCCTCCTTCTCCGCCTCCTCCTCCTCCTCCTCCTCCTCCTCCTCCTCCTCCGCCTCCTCCTACTCGATCCAGTATGAGCTGGGGTGCTTCATAGCCATCAACAAGTCGGCAGTGCTGGCCTCGGCGTTTGATCTACAGAAGCATCTTGCTAAAGCCCTTGGAAGATATTCAGGGTCGGCTCCTCATCACGCAGCTAACCTAGGAGTTGATTTCAGAGCTGGTCAGAAGAAAGAGGTAAAGGTATAACAAGTTCAAAACTTCGTGAACGACATTCGAAGCTAAAAGGTCGACCAGCCAGAATACGAGCTGTTAGACGAGCTGGAGCCAACACGCTAAAACTGTACAACACGGGCTTCGGGCAGGCCCAATTCTATGGAACTGAAGTGGTAGGCGTAGATAACGAAGAACTCAAAGCAGCTCGTAGGCTTTATCTTCAGATAGCAAGTCCAGGTACGACAACGAGGTCCAACACGTTGGCACTTTGTTTGCTAGGCGATCCGTGTTGGCGCCCAGGGGTTGGAGCAACTATTATATGGTTTCAATTGGTCTGGCGCGCGATGATAGGTCAGAATTCACCTGGCCATGGTCTGCCCCAATTTCGTGCTCTTGCTACCGCAGTCCTCGACAACCCTCCGAGTTCGTGGAGAGAGTGCCGAGGCCCGTTCGGAGCAGCTATACTCAGTGCGAAGCGCTTGGGTTGGCAGTTCACCTCTCCCTTCACCATGAGTGATCAGAACCAGAGGACTCATATCTTAACTTCCACTTCGCCCAGTCTTCCAGACTTGGATGCAGCAGGCCTGGGGCCAACAGTTGCACGAGCCGGCCGCCAAGAAGCTCGGCATCCACGGGTCCATCGACACCTCCACGGCAAACAGGGTTTTGAAAGATCAGAGTTTATCGCAGTCTGAGAGGACGACCCTCCTGGCGTTTTTAACCCAATGTATTTGGACCCATACCTGCTTGAAAAAAGGCTGATTACCCCACGGAAGCGGAGTGCTAATGTGGACACCCCACTGACGATCTACATCATAGACTTGTGAGTTGCCCCTGTACAGCGCCCCTCAGAGATGAATGTTTCAATGAAGCTGAGGCCCAAGTCCTTTTGGACCCAGCGAAATTCCCGCTCCAGGCCGGTTTTTGGAGGGTTTGGACTGGTCCACGGGAGCTCCCGAGGGCCTTGGCTTACAGAGGCAAGCTGTGTGGACCCGTGATAATGTTCCCATCTCTGAGGCACTACGATGCACAATATATACTGATGGGTCTCGCTTAAAACAAGGTCCCTAGGATTGTAACATTGCAGGATACGCAGCCGTCGCTCTTGACGACCAGGGTGAGATGGCAGCTGCAGTGTACGGCCCTGTCGGTCGTAACCTCCCCCCAATCCTCTCCCTCCGCCGAGCATCTTGCCGTGCTTGCTGCTGTCTCCTCCTCCTCCCCCTCCTCTATTCACACGTTAGTCGCCGATTATCAAGGTGTGATATACGTGTATAGCGAACATCACAGTAGGAAGCAGAAGTATTCGGGCGTCGCCATGCTGGCTAAAGGCTCGATTAACTGGCACGGTGGAATCTCCTTCGATAAGATCAAGGCTCACCAAAGCCTAGAGAGTTTCACCCAGGGCTCCGAAGCGTGGCTAAAAGCCACTGGTAACGATTTCGCAATTAAATTCGCTAAATTAGGAGCCCAGATGTTGCAGAGACCCTCGGCCAATGAGATCGAGGAAGCCACGGAGGTCTGATCCCTTCTGGCCAAGTGGCTCAGATATGTTGCTCGCGCTTTAAGTTTGTGGGAGCCCGTCGGACCTAGAACCAGTAAGAAAGCGTTCGCTTCTCGGGACAAAACCGTGGCTCAGCCCATAGCGGCTGGAGCGTCCAGTGCCCGTGTGGTTTGGACTGGTGAGGCTCCTCCTCCACCAGCTCCCGTGGTCCCTCGGCCCCCGAGAATGAACCACTCGTGGGAGTGGAACGATAGGTCCAAGCGTTGGCTGTGCTCGACCCGTAAAACCCGCTGCTCGGACAGAATTTGATCAGTCTCGCAAAGATGAGTCTTGCCGGAGCTACCACTTACAGATGTCTCAGATAGCTGCCGACCCCAAGGGCCAAGTTTCATGCTGCTCGTCAAACTCGAAGTTTGAATTTCATTATGATGTGTTCTGGCTGCGGCAAGTACATTGAATCAAATGTGCACAAACTCTCAGAGAATTATGTTGGGTTCAGACGGGAGGGTGACAGGACACAGTGGAGACTCCTCTGTGCAGGCAAGCACCCAAAGTCCTCTTTCAAGGCCCCGTCTCTCCTCCAGAGCCCTCCTCAGAGGCTCGTCGATTTCATTGCCGCCGAAGCAGTCAGAATCGAGAAAGCCCAGTCCTTACAGCAGGACGCAGGGCCTGAGCGGAGCTAACCTGCTGCGCTCTCCAACCACGTGCTGATCCTCCTCCTCCTCCCCCTCCTCCCCCTCCTCCAGTCCGCGGCGCGCCCGAGGCCTCGGCCTCGTCCTCCTTCTCCTCCTCCTCCTCCTCCTCCTCCTCCTCCTCCTCCTCCTCCGGTTGCTCTTGCTGCAGGCTTGGGTGCTGATGCTCAATGCTGCCATCCCCCCACCAAGCGGCAGTCGCCGCTGGGGGAGGCTGATCAGACTGGAGTCTGTTGAAGTCAAAACAGACAGACAAAGCAGGCGAGACAGGCCCCTCAGGGGGCGGGGTAGCAGTGTCCCCCGGCCACCCCAGGGGGGGGGGGAAGAACGTCCTCCTGCTCCTGCTCCTCCTCCGGCTCCTCGTCCCCTCGTTGCCGCCCTCTTCATCCTGGCCCTCCTCGTCCTTCTGATCGTCGTCGATGTCGTCGCTTTCCTCCTTCTGCTCCTCGCCCACCTCGTTCTCCCTCGGCCCTCGTCACCATCTCTTCCCTACCGCCAGGACGGTCCTGGTTGAGCTGGGGGCGCACCCGAAAATACAGCCCTTCCATGTTGCACGCAGTGGTCCCAAGATCGCTACAGCCATCTGACTCCTCCTCCTCCTCGTCGTCGATGTTTTCATTGTCCTCCTCCTCCTCCTCCTCCTCCTCGCAGTCCTCGCCCTCCCTCCCCGTCCTCACCTTCCTCCTCCGCCGTGTCCTCGTCGTCATCCTCCTCCTGCCCTGGCTCCTTTTCCTATCAACGTCGACGCCGCCGTCGACGCTCCCTCTGCTCCTCCTCCTGAAATTCTGAAAGCCTGAAGACAATACAATCCGTCGTCGGACGTTGCCATCCCACCCCAGACCCAGTCGGCCCTGCAGGGTTGATCAACCTGACAGCCTGCCGACTCATGGAACACTTGCTCCAAGCGTCGCTGGCGGGTGAGGTGAGGTAATCGACAGCAGAGGGTAGAGAGAAAGAGAACAAAAAACACCCATCATTGCCTCAAAGGGAGGGGAAGGAGTCCTCCTCCTTCTCCTCCTCCTCCTCCTCCTCCTCCTCCTCCTCCTCCAGATCGTCGCCGTCGGAGGGCGCGCCGAACGCCTGAGCACCGACGGTGCACGGAGTCACGCCGTCGGGCATGCGGACCAGCCGCCCTGTCTTGGTGAATATCCTCGCGCCGTCGCCGCGTCGTCACTGCTGTCGTCACCGCCGCCGCCGCCGGCGCCGGCGCCAGCCCCGGCGCCGCCGCCGCTGTCGTCGTCGTCGTGGTGGTCGTGGTGGTCGTGGTGGTTGTCCTCGTCGTGGTCGTCGTGGTCGTCGTGGTCGTGGTCGTGGTCGTCGTGGTCGTCGTCGTCGTCGTCGTCGTCGTCGTCGTCGTCGTCGTCGTGGTCGTCTTCGTCGTCGTTGTCGTCGTTGTCGTCATTGGCGTCGTCATCGGCGTCGCCGTCATGCCGTCGTCACGTCGTCCTGGTCGCCCACAGCATCGTGAAATCTCGCGACGCGGGCCCCTGGAGACGGCACCTCCTGGAATCCCAGACTGGCCCACCGGCTGTTGCCAGGATCGCCGCTGCCACCGCCGCCGTCAGTAGACGATCGTCGCTGGACCCTCCTCCCTGGCGCAAGTTATACCGTATTCGCGTCCCCGAGGCCATAAAACGGTGTACATTGCGCAATATTTGCGCACCCGAGGCCATAGCCCCTATGATGTTCTCAGGTCAAGCTCGCCGCTGCCACCGCCGCCGTCAGTAGACGACCGTCGCTGGAGCCTCCTCCCGTGAGCGCGCGGAGCGCGCCAGCGACGGCGGCCGGAGCGCCGCTGGAGGCGCCACAGGGCAGATCCGAGAACCCCGCGCTGAGCCACGACAGTTTAATCTTATGGATTTAAGGTTCCCAACCAATCATCCTGTGGTGTTGGGTCCTCGTTTTGGAGACACGGTCCCCGCGTCTCCTCCTCCTCCTCCTCCTCCTCCTCCTCCTCACTCCCCCTCCTGCTCCCCCTCGTCCCTCCTCCCCCTCCTTCCTGCGTTTCACCCACGCAGTACAGCGCTTCGTGGCCCCATAGGGAGCTCCATCGAAACCCCCAGTGGGACCGCCCGCATGCGTCCCACACGCCCAATTTGGCATTTTCACCCGCCCAGCACAGCATTTCGTGGCCCCATAGGGAGCTCCACTGGAGCCCCCAGTGGGACCGCCCGCATGCGTCCCACACGCCTAATTTGAATTTGGAATTTTCACCCGCCCAGCACAGCGCTTCGTGGCCCCATAGGGAACTCCACTGGAGCCCCCAGTGGGACCGCCCGCATGCCCAATTTGGCATTTTCACCCGCCCGGCACAGCGTTTCGTGGCCCCATAGGGAACTCCATCGAAGCCCCCAGTGGGACCGTCCGCATGCGTCCCGAAAACCTAATTTGGCATTTTCCCCGATCCAGTACAGCTTTTCGTGGCCCCATAGGGAGCTCCACCGAAGCCCCCAATGGGACCGCCCGCATGCGTCCCACACACCCAATGTGGCAATGTCACCTACCAAGTACAGCGTTTCGTCGCCCCGTAGGGAGCTCCACCGAAGCCCCCAGTGGGACCGTCCGCATGTATTATGAAAACCTATGTTGGCATTTTCACCCGCCCAGTACAGCGATGCGTCCCCCACACCTAGTGCAGCATTTCGTGACCCCATAGGCAGCTCCACCGAAGGTTCCAGTGCTGCCGCCCGCATGCGCTCCCCCCACCTAGTACAGCGATCCGTTGCTCCGTAGGGAGCTCCAGCGGCGGCCCCAGTGCTACCGCCCGCATGCGTTCCCCCCCCCACCCAGTACAGCGTTTCGTGGCCCCATAGAGAGCTCCACCGAAGGCCCCGGTGCTACCGCCCGCATGCGTTCCCCCCCACCCAGTACAGCGTTCCGTGGCTCCATAGGGAGCTCAACCGACGGCCCCAGTGCTACCGCCCGCATGCGGTCCCCACCACCACGTGCAGCGCTTCGTGGCCCAATAGGGAGCTTCACCGAAGAAGATATTCACAGTTGTGGTACCCAGAACTGCGTATGGTTGGGTCCTTCGCCAAGATAATTTTCTGAGCCATCCTGTGAGGGTGGGTCTTCATTTTGAAAAGACAGCGCCCCGCGTCTCCTCCTCCTCCTCCTCCTCCTCCTCCTCTCCTCCTCCTCCTCCTCCTCCTCCTCCCTCCTCCTCCTCCTCTCTCCTCCTCCTCCTCCTCCTCCTCCTCCTCCTCCCCCTCCTCCCTCCTAAGCCCACCCAATACAGTGTTTCGTGGACTCCTAAGGAGCTCCACCGAAGGTCCCAGTGGCGGAACTCGCATGCGGTTCCTGCACCCAATGCAACGTTTCGTGGCCTCCTAAGGGGCTCCACTTCAAGGTCCCAATGGCGGAACTCGCATGCGGTTTCTGCGCCCAGTACGAAGTTTCGTGCCCCCACAGGGAGCTGCACTTCGTGGCCTCGTAAGGAGCTTCACCGAAGGTCCCAATGGCAGAACTCGCATGCGGTTCCTGCGCCCAGTACTGCGTTCCGTGGCCCCATAGGGAGCTCAGCCGAAGGTCCCAATGGCAGAACTCGCATGCGGTTACTGCGATCATTGCAGCGCTTCGTGGCCCCATAGGCAGCTTCACCGAAGGTCCCAGTGGCGGAACTCGCATGCGGTTCCTGCGCCCAGCGCGGTGTTTTGTGGCCCCGTAGGGACCTCCACCGAAGGTCCCAGTGACGGAACTCGCGTGCGGTTCCTGCGCCCAGTACTGCGTTTCGTGGCCCATAGGGAACTCCACCGAAGGCCCCAGTGGCACCGCCCGCATGCGCCCCCCCCCTCCCAGTACAGCGTTTCGTGTCCCCATGAGGAGCTGCACCGAAGGTCCCAGTGGCGGAACGTGCATGCGGCTCCTGCACCCAGCACAGCGCTTCGTGGCCCCATAGGGAGCTCCACAGAAGGTCCCAATGACGGAACTCGCATGCGGTTCCTGCGCCCAGTGCAGCGTTTCGTGGCCCCGTAGGGAACTCCACCTGGCCTCCCAGTGGGGGAACTCGCATGCATTTCCCCCAGCCAGTGTAGTGTTTTGTGGCAACGTAGGGGACTCTACCGAAAGTCCCAATGGCGGCCCCGCCCCATTGCGGCGCACCCCTCACACTTTCCGCGGCCCCGTAATACGTTCCGCCTAAATCACCAGTGGCAGCGCCCACATGGCGGCCCCGCCCCAAATCGGCACACCTTCGCATGCTTCGTAGTCCCATGAAGAGGTCCCCCGACGGCGGTACCCGAAACGACGGTACTCACAACTGTATATGGTTGGGTCCTTCGCCAGGATAAATACTTCCAGATCGGGCCGCGCCGTTGCCGTCGCCGCCGCCGTCGTCACGTCGTCGTGACCCGTCGTCTGGGGAAACCACAAAGGGTACCGATACCGCTGCTCCCAAGATCCCTCCCGGCGTGCGCTCTGACCAGCACTTCGAGGCGAAACCCAGCGGTGGCGACGAGGGCCCCCCAGGAGGTCCCCACGGGCGAAAACCAGGCAAAGGGTAGCGGTACGAGTGCATGTCTTGATTCGCGGCCAGAACGAGTGTTATGGGGGGCGGGGGGGGAGGCGGGCGGGGGCATGACCTAGCACCCCCCCCTCAGACTGTGGTGCTGGACGCCCTTCGGCAGTGCCCGGGAGTCACTGAGGGGGGAATGCTGCGCCGTTATGTGTGTGTGGTGGGGGTACCCAGATCCCCGACGTAATGATTTTTTCATTATGTCGACCCCCACAGTTCCCGACCCTCTCCCCATGACCGGCTTCTCGTCCTGAATCGTGTTTTGACGCTCCCGACGCCCGGTGAGGGCCCTCGGAGGCCGAACATTCAGAAAAGCCTTCCGTCATGATTTTTTTATTGCTCGAGGGGTCTGGGTAGGGGGCATAACGCCCGCAATGGCCCAGAGTTAAGTCGGGCCTGTCCCCCATACAGGGGGATTTTCGACAAAA